TGTGTTTTTAGGGTTATTAACAAAGTTTGTGTACTCAGACCAGAAATATTTGGGGTCATAAGTTTTTGCCATGGATATTTTGTGGGTCAGAAGATAAAAAGTTTGGGAACCACTGCTCTAAACTGTCCTTATGTATGAATGTGAACGATTGGGGTCTCTGTAGCCCACCACCCCAACTTCACACACCCCCGTGACCCTGAAGGGAAGAAGCAGGTTAAAGTAATGGATGGACGAAACTAGTTGTCTGATCAGTTATATTATTGTTTGTCCTCCCAACCAGTAAAACTCACCACAGTAAAGCCGCTGTTCTGGCGCACTGAACACTGACTCAAAACATTAAAAAAACATGAAAATTATGAAAACTCACCTTGAAGTCCAGAAGCTGTACTCACACGGTCTGAACCTGCTTCTAGTTCTGGTTCATTCAGGACCGACGTGACTGCCAGCGAACTTAACTTTCACTTTCACCTTAAAACGAAACACAGCTTTAAAAAAACAACAACAACTGCGCATGCGCATGTTTGAAAACGAAGCCGTGACCCGACGAGAAGGGGTTATCTGCGGAATCAAAGAGGGCGTGTCAGAAGAGGGGGCGTGTCAAAAGCATAAACCATGTGGGCTACGAGACCTACATGACGGTATCCTTAGATCCTGCTTGATCTCTTTACAGCCTGACCCTGAACCCAACATTAAAGCTAACCAGGAGAAATGTGACCCAAGTAGGGTTCGCCAGAAAAAGTGGTGCCGTACAGTAACGCCCCTTTTGTTCTTGTCCAATCAGGTGGAGCTGTACGGTATAGCCCCTTTTTTGCTTGTCCAGTCAGGTGTGTCTCTTTTACAAAGTCCGTCAAATCAGGTAAGTCGCTTTAGAATCGCCTTTTCTTGTGACACGCCCACTCGTCCACAGAGACCCCTACTTGGACCCGACAGTAGTCCGGTTGTAATGATTATGTGTTTGACTATAAAAAAATAAAAATGTGTTTGACTTTGAGGTGCCAAATGTAAATTTAAAACGAAAAAAAAACATCAGAGCACTTTCTTCACATTAAGTGCAATTTTCCTCTTATTTAATGGTAAAAGTTAAATATTAAATCGATTTCTAAATGTATATATTAAATCTATTTCTGTCTCATATATCTACATACAAATATTACTTTTATATCTAAATCTTATATCTAAATCTAAATATAATGACTAATATAAATTTTAATGACTGTGGTGAGGATTTTAAAATGCTCACAGATGTTTTAACAAGTTATCTTATTTTAAGAGGACGTTGTCACGCCAGCAAAGGAAATTGTGATTCATCCAAATAACAAAAAGTGGATAACAAAGGAAATGAAAATGTGCTTGGTCCAAAAGAAAAAAGCTTTTCTGCAGGGGCCAAACCAAGAGTAAGAGAACTGCAGAAATAATTTTAAAGGATGAATAAATTAGCCAAAAATAATTATAAGAGAACCTCTGCTGTATTGTCACAGAATAACCTCTATTAAAAAGGAAATGTACTTTCTGCTCCATTGAATGTGTTCTTAGTAATGCCAGACCAGGTCAGATTATACAGTACAGTGAAATAAATAAATTTCTGTATAATAAACAGGTTTTACCTGCTACAAAAAGCTGTTTCAGTAAGTTCTTCAATTAAATGACTGAATCAGTAATGCTTTAATGTATGTACTCAACAAATAAACAGTTAAAATGTGCATTTAAAATTATAATATGTACAGTATTGGATAAATAAAAACCTCCTGTAGCACAAACATGAMGCAGGGGATGTGACTTTATTAGGCTCTCACCTGGTTGTGGAGGCATTTGTCCCTTTCGCCTTTACAGCATTGATTCAGTTTATTCAGGTTCGTAGACATTTGTTTCTGTCCCAAAGCAGTATTTCCATCAGGTTGAGGACTAGGCTTCTGGCCCACTCTTCTTTACAACAACCTTGGCATCAGACAGTCGTCTTCTTATTCCTGACTCTAGTTTTTTTGATCCATGGAGGAGTTAATCGCTGACTCAGAGATTGTAAAGAGTCCAGATTCTGTGGCTGCAAAACAAGACCAGACCATCAGCCTTCCACCTTTGTACTGACAACCAGTATGAGGTGTTTTACCGATGATGAGCAGCAGGTAGTTCTACACCTGTTAAATCCTATTGAAGCAGGGGGACGGGTAACCCTGGATAAAGTTACTCAAAGTTGAGCTCAAAATGTTTGGAGGAACTTTCATATTATTTTTTTTATTTTATTTCAAGTTTTATTCATTCCATAAAAACAAAATTACATGTAGAATAAAAAATACAAATAAAATGAAATGAAAGGCGGCAGAGAGAAGAAAAAAATCTTATCTGCCCCTTTTTTCTAAAGTATAAATTCAAACTATAATAATCTTCAGTTAAAACAAAGCATTGAATCTTTCTAGAATGACAAACTGAATGGCTACATATTAAACCATTTCATACTTTTTTAACAATCTAATATTTATCATTCTCTTAAACAATATTAACAGATTTGGCTATGTATAACAGATATTTGGTGACACAAAAATAAAATCAACAAGACAAATTAAAGTGCAACTGTCCACATTTAAATAAAAATGGATAAATAAAAGCATAAATAGTTCAGATAAAGGAATTAATGGTCAGTGTGAGTTTATACAAATATGATCTTGACAATCACAACAAATCCATGAGTCAGTCATGAATCCACGCTCTGATCACTGAGTTTAATGTGTCTCTGTTGTCTGAGCCACACTTAAAGCAGTAATGGAGCTGTAAACTGTCCCCTGTGACTGACACATGATTACATGCAATAAATAGTTCATTCATAATAATGGAGTGATGTGTAGTCAGGGTTTTACTGAACAGGAGCTGGCATTTAGAAAATCAAATATGAGAACTGTTGAGTAAAGAAAAGGGCTCTGATTCTCTTCATTTGTAATTTAGGGTTTATTACACATATTTGATGTATTGGAAAAAATAAAAACTGAACAGACTTGTCATTAGATTTTACAAGCTTCTATTTCATGTGTTTTATAAATCTGTTTGCAAAAAGTAATTCAGTTTGGAATTGGGTGAGGCCCATCAGCCCCCACGTTTCATGCCTGACTCATTTCTCACCTTGTGTGGACAAATAACACAGTTGTTGCTCTTTTTGTTCAATCTTATGCAGTCATGACCTGTCACACTCTGAGTGAGTTGTGAAAGACTTTCAGCTACTACCACATCAAACTTTAGCTCAATACCTGTATGTGTGTATACAGTGTATATATA